ATTCACTTATGGCGTACAGGGGGAGGGGGGTCAGCAAGAAAAGAACAATAGAAATTTTGAAAAATGAACATTAGTTTCGGAAGTCATAAGTGAACGTCCCCTTATCATTGCCAATGTTATTCAATCAAGTCTATAGAATTAATTTGGTCATCAGTCGCTTAAAAAAGATTCCTAGCAACCCGTAAAATCGAATCTTCTGTCCTTTAAGTGACATTTTAAACCTCCTTACTAAAGATTTAATTCCTCTTTCCATAAAATCAATCAGTTTACGTGACCAAGACCTTAGATAATTCCCTCAACCATAGCTTCAACTTTAGTAAACATTTGTATCTCGAGAAATTCAAATAAATCCTCAACATAGCTTCAATCTCACTATTATCATAACAAAATCAATTCCCATCTCTGAATTGAAAGCTTCCCATTGTCTGCAAAACTTTACTTCATTCAATAAAAGAGAATTGAATTATTTTCTCAAGTGTCATGGTCAATTGATGAAGATATCATCTGTGGAATGATGAAAAACATTTTGACATTGATCATCACTCCACATACTCGTTCATGCATTGAAATAGTCAATCGATAATTTGAAATTTGTTCACAAAATATTTTTTGTTTTTTTTTTATCGGTTGTGGGAAAGGTTAGAAAACTATGACGCTATAATTTGATTCTTTTGTAACATTGAAATGAACTTCGATAATTGCACTCGTTGTGCTCGTTTTTATGGCTTGTTTTACTTTGCAAGAAGTTCACTGAAACGATAAATTATTTTCAAAAACAATGGAGCGATTTTTTTTACTTTATAAAAATTTTGCAACATGAACTTATTTTTTTGCGACTTGGTCTATAAAGTGATGTACTGAAAATTAAAGTACATCGCTATTTTCTTCTCTCCTTACATCCCACATTAAATGTTTGCACATTCTTTTTAAAACTCATTCAATGTTATTTCTTTCTTCATCATGCAAAATATGCTTTTGTGAATAATTTTGTTATGCTAAATATTTTTACATGATGTGATGTGCACTCATCTCATGCGAATGATTAAAGTGAATATGTTGAAAGAGAGCAAAAAAAAAAAATATATAGATAAAGTGTAAAGAGATGACTTGAAGTAACGACGAGTTTTATGTGCAAAATGTTTCCACTGTTGGAAAATTTTGTAACATGAAAAATTATTTTAAAAGTTTTTTGTTTTAACAAATTTTTTTATTGAGAATGCTAATGGGTTTGGGGGAATGTTTCTGGAAGCTTTTATGGGAATGTTGGAAAATTTGTTAGCTCTGGCAAATTTAATTGAATATTTCCTGACGGTTTTTATTTAATTAATGCCGGAATCAACTCAGTACTCGAGCATTCTTTTTTATGTTATAGAATTAAACTCCTGGAAGCAATGAAAAAGCAGCACTGGCATAGGAGTTAAAGTATTGGTCAGAGCTCGAAGTCGACTTGAGATTTTCATCGATTTTGTTTGGCATTGGCCAACCATGTGCTAACGATCTGAGTTTGATTCCAAAGAATGTCTATTCAGATTTGGGTGCTCTTTCGCTATTCTATTCATTGTAGTTCAGTAAGATACTTAACCTTGATATACCTTCGGTAATGCCATTATGCAGAGTTTGCAGGAATCAACCGTCTGACTACACAAAACAAGTCAAACCATTCGGAATGCTAACGCTTCAACCAAAATCAACATATATAATTAAAACAACAGTTAAGATCAAAATGTTGCTAATTTTAAATAACAAAACCAAAATTAAACTTTTCATTTGAAAAAAAGCTAAGTTTACATGCTGAATTTTTACCCTAAACGCCCCACACATTACATCAAAGATGATAACATTCTTTTTATTCTTGGTGCTTTAAAATTGAATTTATGCATAACATGAGATGAATCTCCATATTTTCCTAGAGATGTTCATGCATATATGGATGCTATGCTTCTGCTATTATTATCTCAAAAGAAGCGGAATGTAAAGTTCTAAGAAAAAGAAAACTAGTTGATACTGCTTTGATGTTAGCGAACATTAAATGTCGATGTTAAGCTTCAAAATTCATCGACCCGAAAAAATAAATAGCAAAAAAAAATTATTTCTTATGCTTGTGCTTTACGACATGTAATAATGATTGCAGTGACATATTACAAACATGTAAGGAGAAGAAATGTTTCGTGTGTGCGCGAATGAGATGAATTTGCTGTCACAAAAATACCATAAATAATTTAGTCGGTATTTCTTTGATTAACATGAGTGTTGATTGATATTGAGATAATCATAGAGAAACTTAATTAAGTTAAACTGTGAGATGTAGTGACATGAGATATAGACGATATAATACAAGTTGAAAAGTTGATGCTTCCATAGTTTGTTGAGTGTTGAAAATGTCAGATTCTGATGTGATGATAATTAAGACAAAAGCGTGTTAAAAATAATTTAAATTTCGTGCTTTATATTTTGTTCTAGAGATGTGTTAATTGAATTTATGCAATTGATTGACAAAGAGCTTTGTAAATTGTCAACTTGAAAAATAATTTCATTTCACGGTTAAAATGAATTTGAAAAGCATGCGATTTTTTACTAAAATTTCAAGATGGTAGATTTATCACTTCAAATTTTATTTTTTGATTTACTTACTCTAAAGATTGTTTTATGGGATAAAATTAGTTTTATCTTTTAGAAAAAAGTGGCAACCATTAACGAGCATAAGAATTGAAAGGATAAATTGCAAAAATTCATAACAAAATAATTTCAAAATTTCATTTTTCAATTCATAAACCCAAACTGTAAAGAAAATCAAGCATTTCTCAGCAAAATCAAGCAAGCTTCCCAAAAGGTATGTAAAATGTAATATTAAACAAATAACTTCACAGCAGCGGGTGCAAGAAATTTTATAATGAGATTTTTGTATGAAAAATTTCCATTTTCTTTTTGATGAGTTCATTCACAGTGAGTTACTTTTATTACTTTACTAAGCTATAATAGCTTTTTCACATGGATTAAATTTAATTCAATTCTTTTCACTCATTTCACTTCATTAAGATTGAGAAACATTATGACACATTTTGGGGTGTGCTATTTAAGTAATTTCCATTGCATAATAATTTTTAATAATCCAAAATTTTCACTACTGTCATCTGAATTAATTTTGCATTTCTTTCATACTTCAAAAAAATATTTTGCAAGCACGACATCGATCAACAAAGGAAGAAAATAAGAAATAAAAAAAAATTAATGCTAAATTGGCATTAAAAACGGTTTCGTTTTCTACAAATTGACATGATCTGTTCAAACATTTCAATAAATCGCTATTTACGAGTTTTTAATGAGTCTGTACGGTTTATATTTTCAAAAAGGAAATTTCTCAAATCATTCAAGCGCCATTAAATTAATTCGCATGTATCTGCAGTCAGTTGTCGATTTAATTAAGTAATGGAGCTATTTACACTTTGTTGATTTTTGCTTTTCTAAACCGTCAACGTGTTGAATGTTTGCATTTAAATCCGCATAGGTGCTGGAATTAATTCAAATAGATTACCGACAGCATACTTCTTTAATCTTTTATATCCATTAAATTAAAATGTAGAAATTGAATCTGATTTTCCTGTTTTACTTTATTTTAAATTAATTAGAGAAAAGTTTGTGTTGAAATTAGATTAAAATGAAGGATTTGTGGATGGATGTACTAGGTCATTGAATTTACTTTAGTTGAAGTTTTTCAAAGCTTTTCTAGGGTTTATCCTTGAATTGGATATTACTAGAGTAGAGGTAACACTTTACGAAATGCAACCTCCCCATTTAGTTTTTTAAAAAATATTTCAATTCACTTTTTAACTAAAGCTCATGATTTTCCTCCAAAACTTATCATCAGTTCCTAAAAGAACTCTTTCTTGAGCATAATTCAAACTCTCAAGTGCAATTCAAATTGAAACATTAAGTCAGTAATTGATCAAACAATCTTAAAAGCTGAAAATTGAAACCCACAATCCGCAAGAAGGGAAGAAAAAAGAAACTTTAAAAAGCTTTTAAAACTCTAATAAAAATGTTTCAAGAACATAAATTATGATAAGATTAAAAAGTAAGAAATGATTTATACTCCACTAATGTAAGGATATAAAATGAAATATTTAACACTTCTCGGACGCTTTTTTCTATAAAAATGAAATATTTTTCATCACGAAGTCATTTTTCAAAAAATTGCTGTAGCAATTGTAGTAATCCTCACGAGCCATAATCCAAATTCATCATCAAACTTTTCTATGAATGCGTAAACATGATAATCCTCGATGAAAAAAAAGTTCCAAAGCCTTCGGTCAGACAAGATATTTATAAAATTATAGAAACATTTGCTAATTAAGGCAATCTAAATTGTGAAAGATTAAAGACATAAAACATGATGTATGTAATATCGATCATATTTCTCATCCATTTGCGGTAGATGACTTTTCGACACATCAAGTCTCTTCTCACCATGTGATTGCACAAGACTTTCATTCAATAATACTTTGTTTTTTTGCCTTAATATGCTAATTGCATATTATATAAAATAAAAAAAGACTTTTCAGAAAGTAATAACCTATATTTCGAGACATATCATACCGAAGGTGATATGAACACTTCCAAAACTCGTTTATTTACAACTCGATCTCATTTCATTCGAGACATGCACTTTATTTTTTTCATTTAATGCACATTAAATCATTCACTTGCGTACGACATAAATCTCTGCGCACGCATTTATGAAAGTCACCCAATTTTTTTTCTTTTTCTTTACAAGTCGCACTACAAAAATATTTATTACATAACGGTTAGAGTAATGCGAACAATTTTCATTAAGATTCCGAGAAGCGCAATGAAGAAATTGATGAATGACATCCATAAACGGAATCACATGCATGTCACAAAGTATGTAGGTTCTGCGACAACTCGATAATTAGTTTTTGAATTTTGTAATGTGAGATAAAGACTCGACTTTTTGAAAGCTAATTAAGTATATCTCTATTTACCCCATGTTGATGTCGTCTCAGCTGTGCTTTTATTTTTATAATCCAAATTTGTTCAGTCACTAAAAAACAACTCTTTTCTTTTTTTTCCTTCTTTTGATGCTTTTTAAACACACAACCACTACCTCTTTTATGTTCGGGTATAAATTTAACAGTAATTATTTGTAAATTTGCTTTTTTTTTCTTCTATGTTGACTTCACGAGCGATTTTAACAGAATGAACACTTTCTAGTGCTTAATATTTGTTTTTATACTCCGCTTAACATTTTTTTTTCTTCTTTTTAACGTGTTTTACCTTCTTTTTGTTTTTTTCACTTCCATTCGCGTGCAATTTTTTTTCTTCTTTTATTTTTTTTTGAGTAGCTCAACAGATGCGCGAACAAATGAAAGAAAAAAAATGCTTTTTAAATTCGATCGAACTTCGACACAAACTCCCCATTTTTATTTGGCTTTGTGAGATGTGTGACTATGTGATTTTATGAGCATATCTCTAGTGTACTATTCAGGAATATCATTAAAAAATTTTTCATCGTTTTCTTCTTTATGGTATTAAATTTGTGAATTAACATGTTCATTAAAAATTATTTTTACTGAGTTTACAAAAAAAAAAAATAGTAAGATTGAATTGAATTCAATTGGATTTATTGGAATTGAGAGAAATATTTTTAGTTGAAGGTGGTTGTAGGTGAGGCTCGAAGGCGCATTTTTATATTACTGTCAAGTTTATTCTTAAGTACCTTTTATTGAGATGATGATGATGATCGAAGATGATTCATGTTAAAGATTTTAATTCAAGGTAGATTGGAATTTTTGGAGGAAGTTGTGCATTAGAAAATTGAAAGAGAGAGTTTATAATCGAATCATTGAATTTGTCTGCATGATTTGTTAACAGAATTTGATTCACTTTTAATTATTAGGTACTTAACAGTAAGTCTTACTCTTAATATTTTCTTATAGCAAAGATTACTAAATTGTTAGCTGAAATAGATTCTGGGAAGTTAATCTGGAGCTTAGCTAAATGATTAACTGGTCCCTAAGCTGGGTTTCTTGTTGTAAACCATAATTTTTACCTTCTCCAACCAAGAAACAGAGCTCTTCACTATCAGCACTCTTGCTGAAGATAAGATTCCTCATTACTACAACAACACATTAGATTATTCCAAGTCACTCTCTTTTTACTTCATTAGAGTAGGATTTATTTTGTGAACAAAATCCAAAAGGCCAATAATGGAGGGGAGTCTAGTGCTGTTTTCTAGAGCTACCCCAGGGACCTGTTTTAGGAGGCTGACCATCTGCTTGGTTTTTCAGAAGGCCGTCCTCTATTTTTTTTCGTTTTTCAAAAATAAAATAGTTTTGTTTTTTGTAATTCGTCCAGAAAACACATAAAATTGGTAGACACGTGGGAGTTTTCTTTTTTACTTTCAGATCCTCAATTTTTTAAAATAAATTTCTGGTCACCCTATTCTTTAGTCTTATTAAAGCATTCCCGAATGGCACAAATCGGTTAATCAATCAGAAAATAATATGGCATCAAGCTGGTGTTACTCTAGCATGGTGCTGGATTTTAATCAAAGATAGCACCATGCTAACATGGCGCCGAATTCCTATTTGATTAACCCTTGTGCAATTATTTTTTATTTATACCTCAGATTAAAGTACATCAACTGCTGCCCCTAAAATCCGCCTCTGAATCCATGTGACATTTGTACAAAATATAATAGCCTAATGATGAAGGGTCCTAATGCAAATAAATTCAGTCTTTATAAATAATGCGAGCAAAACATAAATTTCATACAAACTATTAAGCAATAGTCTTCATGATTCCTAGAATAATAAAAATCAATGGTAATTTCAATAATGATTATGAGGCATAAAACTTTAATGTGAGAGCAGCTCATTGCTTAACAAATTTTTAATGCATTCATTTAATCCAATAACAATATTTTGAAAGCGAAATGTCATTGAATGTGGTCGGGATATCTGCAATTAAAATTGGATGACATTTTTGATTTTTAATGTACTTAAATTGGTGAAATTTCCTTGATTAAATCATAATTGGATTAAATTAATAATCTCCATAATCTCAATAATCTTTAGGATAAGAAACTTCAAGGAGTTTAAAATCTTGATCTATAAGTCTTATAATACATGTTTAACTCTGGCAGATTATCAAGTGACTTGATACTGAAAATTCCAAGCAATAATCCTCCACAGCTACATAAAATACTCCCAGACAAACAGACAAATTATCACCAAAACTTCATTCACCTCTCCCATAAATCTTCACATCCACAAAACAAAAAGCTGAAGAAAAAAAGACAAAGCGAGCGAATGGAAGTAATGGAATATCAATTAGTATTAAAATTTATTTTTCACAGTCAATTTGCTTACAGAAATTTATATTTTTCGAACAAACTGGAATCATTCACTTAATGCGTTTGCATTTTAGGAAGAATAGGGGCAGGACTTGAAGTTTTGTGACAGTTCATATAAATAAAATTGATTTGAAATTTTTTTAAGGTTACGTAATAAGTCAACAACCCCCCAAATTCGTTACATAGTTAATGCTAATAACAGCAAACAGCCTGACAAATAATCGAGATTAGAGGAGCGGAAAGGTGACTAGCTTCTTAGTAAATCTCAAATTTAGCTATTAAATTAATTATTAATACGATATTGAAATAGTTGCAGCGATAGAGAGTAAATTACCTCATAAATTAGTCTATTTAGGCATGTGAAAATTATATCAAGTGAATTATCACTTCTTGACGAGCTTTACGCAATGTCGTGTAGCGCAAAATTGACGCTCTTTAATTCAATGTTTCGTGCCATAAAAAATTATATCATAATGCATAATTGAATTATTCATCTAATGACAATAATTTTATGCCATCACAATCAACGATATTTTTTAGGCTCATTAAAGTCACAGACGTAAGCCAATTGTGATTGCAGCTCTTTTGTTAAAATACTTTTAAAAAGATGAAAGACAATGTAATGAAAGTATCGAGAGAGGAAATGAAAAAGCATAATTTAGTGAAAATATAAATTGATTTATGCGGAAAGATTGTCCAGACGATGACCGTCATAATCATCATTGTGGCTGCTGCTGCTGTTGTGGATTATAAAAAATCAATTTGTAACAATGTAATTCACCAATTTGACATAATTGGCTTTTTCAACTGCACACACTTCTTTTTTTTCATTCGTGTCATTTTTCGATTGTTAAACTTCAAAAATTATCGACAAGTACCCAATTTCCACTGACGGAAACAGAAAAAAAAATATATGGAAAAATAAAACAGCATAAGCAATTGCTGCATACAATTATTTTCCCACACTTACTAACAGTTCGAGTGCGCTTTGCATTTTCATGACGTGGTTTATTGGGGTGATAGGAAGTTGGCGTTCTAGTTTTTGTTTGTCTGAATGTCAGGCATGTTTAAATAAATTTTGTTTTATTTTATGTGGTTTGATATGTTTCAAAACTTGTGGAACTGATCCAAAACCGATTGATACAGTTCAAAACTTATTGATCCGGTTCAAAACTTATTGATCCGGTTTAAAACTAATTGATCCGTTTCTAAACTTATTGCCCCAGTTCAAAACTTATTGATCTGGTTCAAAACTTATTGATCCGGTTTAAAACTTATTGATCCGTTTCTAAACTTATTGCCCCAGTTCAAAACTTATTGATCTGGTTCAAAACTTATTGATCCGGTTTAAAACTTATTGATCCGTTTCTAAATTTATTGCCCCAGTTCAAAACTTATTGATCCAGTTCAAAACTTATTGATCCGGTTACAAACTTATTGATCCGTTTCTAAACTTATTGCCCCGGTTCAAAACTTATTGATCCAGTTCAAAACTTATTGATCTGGTTCAAAACTTATTGATCCGGTTTAAAACTTATTGATCCGTTTCTAAACTTATTGCCCCAGTTCAAAACTTATTGATCCAGTTCAAAACTTATTGATCCGGTTTAAAACTTATTGATCCGTTTCTAAACTTATTGCCCCGGTTTAAAACTTATTGATCCAGTTCAAAACTTATTGATCCGGTTCAAAATTTATTGATCTGGTTAAAAACTGATTGATACAGTCTAAAACTTATTGAACCGGTTCAGAACTTCATGATCCGATTCAAAACTCAATAATCCGGTTCAATACTTATTGATCTGTTTCAAAACCAATTGATCCAGTTCAAAAATTATTGAATTTAATGCAAACTATTAAAAATAGTGGAAAACCAAGCTCAAAAAATCATAAAAGATCAAATCTAGTTATGTCCAATTGTTATCCTTTATAATTTCAACACAATTTCCATTTCACAATGCGCCATAATCACCCAAATTCAAGCATCCTTCCAAACTAGGACTAATTTATCGAAACATAAAAACTGCATCCATTGAGGCTTTACCGTTTTGGCTTTGTACAGAAAAAAATATTCTCATTCCAAAGTTTAACAGGCAAACTTTTTTTTTCGTCGGTCGATGGAATGTCAGAACATTTTTTTTTGTGCTGTTGCAACAGTACATTCTATTTGAACTTCATCGCTGGAAAATTTCCTCTCACAACATTTTTTTTTCTGTGTCAATTTTTTCGCATATGTGAATTTCATGCACTTGTCGTAATTAAAGGCTTTTCTTTCAGCTCGACAAAAAAAAATTCGCACTTCCATTCAAAATTAATTTTTTTTTGTGAACTACAAACAAGTTCACTTAAGCACATTGTGTACGAATCGGTGAATACAAAGCGAAAATTTTTCACAGTGGTAATGAAAAACAAAAAGAGAATAAAGTCAAGCAATTTGCCGCCATTGAAGCATTAATTGCCATTGTGAAGGTACACAGAGCATTTTACGGTGCACGCAATTGCCGACTTAAAGATGGGTGTATGAAGCATAAAAAGAGCTTTTTTTTTGCAGACATCGAATTTAAAAAGTATTGTCAAGTTCAACGTATGCTTTACATAACATCTTCATTTCAGCTTTATGCTCGTGATACTTGCTACAATCGATGTACGTACGTATGTATCATATTTGACATGAATGATGTTTACACACACGGTTGAATTAAATGCCATGTTCAGCTCATGATCAATTCACTTGCATGTCATTCATAAATCATATGAATTGGCTTCTCTCTCTCGTTA